CCACTGGGGACCCGAGATAATACGGGGGATAATATAGGGGTGCTGGGGGCAGCAGGGCACAACAGGGGCACTGGGGGACATGGGGGACACCAGGGACATGGGGACACGGGGGGACCCAGGGGAAACCAAAGGTACATTGGGGACACCGGGGGCATTGGGGACAGTGGGGAAAGGGACCTGCAGGGGAGGAGCCCGTGACATCCTGCAGGGAGCAATGTCACCCTCAGCCCACCCAGCCCTCGTGGTGACGTCGCAGGTGTCCTTACCCATGTCGTGGACCAGGGGCACCACGTCCAGGGCGAGGTCGAGGTGCATCCGGGGCAGGGCCAGCGCGGTGGCCCGGGGGGGCGTCTGGGCCGCCCGCCGCAGCAGGGCCAGGAAGGTGGGGGGATCCAGTGACCGCTCCAGCGTCTCCAGCGCCCCCAGGGGCCCCCGCGGCAGCAGCACCACCAGGCTCAGCCCCTCGCTCAGCTCCAGCCTCCCCACCTGCGGGACGGACCCCTGACTCAGGGCCACCGCGGGGACCCCACAGACCGGCCCCCCCCCAGTGCCCCCAGTGAGGTCCCAGCCTGGCATCCCCCCACCCCCAGGGGAGTGAGGTCATAGTAGGTGCCCCTTTCAGTGCCAGGGCACTGACATCAGCCTGGCATCTTCTCTGAGCGCCACAGGAGTGATGTCACAGCCTGGCATCCCTCCCTAGAGCCGCTGGAGTGACATCATGCCGTTACCCACCCCTAGCAGTGACCCACCAGCCCCCCAGGCTGGGCAGTGACCCCACAGCCCTCCCAGTGCCCAGCAGCGACCCCACAGCCCTCCCAGTGCCCAGCAGCGACCCCACAGCCCTCACAGTGCCTGGCAGTGACTCCCTAGACCCCCACCCCTGTCCCAGCGGGGGTACCTGGACCTGCAGGCGGGAGTCGGTGAAGGAGGCCACCGGGTACTTGGTGCTGGTCATGGTGGGCACCTCGACTGAGGGGCGCCCGGGGCGCAGGAAGGGCAGCGGCACCGTCTGCTCGGGGTCCAGGGGCGTGCGCCAGGCGGCTGTGGGGACACGGCACCGGGGTTGAGGGGCGGGGGACACCGGGGGGACTGCGCGGGTCGGCCTCAGCCGCAAGCCCGATCCCCGGTTCGTCCCGGGTGGGCGCGGGCGGGCGCGGCGGTGGGGCCGTACCGCGCAGGTGGACGGCGCCGAGCAGCAGCAGGCGGGGCTGCGGGGGCAGCGCGGGCAGCAGGGCGGGCAGCAGCCCCTCGCTGGCCTCCCGCACCCAGGCGTTGATGCTCTGCAAGTCCAGGCTCTCGTTGCCGCTCAGGGCGCGGGGACGGGCGCCGTAGAAGCGCAGGGAGTCGTTGAGGAAGCGGGGCCGGAGGCGCAGCTCTGCGTGGCAGCACGGTCGGCGTCAGCCCTGCGCCCACCCGGCGGCAGCGCCCCGCCGGCACCCGGCGCCCGCCTCACCTGGGTGGTGGAAGATCTGGGCGGCCGAGAAGAGGCCGGGCGAGCCGGCCAGCTGCTGCAGGGCGCCGTGCACGCAGCCCAGCCCCGGCGGGTACGCCAGGAGGGCGCCCAGCCGCTCGCGGGTCTCGCCGCGGGCGCCTGCGGGCACAGGGGGAGCTCGGTGAGGTGCCCCGGGTGGGACAGCCCCGGGGGACACCGGCGGTGCCCACGGCAGTGCCGGTGCTCGCGGGCGGCCCCTCACCCAGCAGCAGGTGCGAGAGCCCCGTGGCGACGTTGATGGGGGAGAAGAGCAGGTTGGCATCGGGCTGGGCGGCCTCGGCCATGTGCTGGTAGAAGCGGAGGGCGAAGGTGCCCAGCGCCTCGGCCACGGCCGCCCGCTGCTCCCTCGTGGGCTCCCCGCAGGCCTCGGCCGGCTCCTCGTCCCCGGGGCACGGCGGGGCGGTGGTGCCTGGGGGTCCCTGAGTGGTGCCAGGCGTGGGCACAGCCGTGGTCCCGTAGGCTGTGGTTCCCGGCTCCTCAGGGGCTCCCTCGGGTTCTGTGGGGCTGGGGGTATCCGTAGCCCCGTGAGGGGCATCCCAGCCAGGCGGCCCCTCGGGGTGGGCATGGGGGGTGGGCATAGGCGGGACAGGTGCCCCCATGTCCTGCGGGGGGGGTGTGGCAGGATGGGGGGGCACTGGCGGTGTCGGGGGCTGTGTGAGTAGCTTCAGTCCGCTGGGAGAGGCCTCCAGCGTGGGCACCTGGGTGCAGGGACCTGGGTGAGGGGGGCACGGTGCACCCGGATGGGTGGCTCAGATGAGGGGAGACAGAGGGGCATTGGGCACAGGGAGCCCATGTTCCTGGGGCACACTTACCGGGCTGACAGTGGCAGTGGCTGTAGCCACCAGCCATGCCAGGGGCAGCCAGAGTGTCATGGTGGGCATCCTGGTGGGAGGGCACAGGTCAAGGACAGGCACCCTGCACCCCCACCCCGACACCTACACCCCACTCCCTGCACCGCCTGTACCCCCACCCCGTGTGCCCCCACCCACCCCGGGGTGCTCTCACTCTGCCTCCCCGGGGGCTGGAGGAGGCAGCACCCCGGGCCCACCTGGGTGCCCGGTGGGTCGGTCTCTGCGTGTCCAGTGGGCTCCGGGGGATCTGGCCGGCTCTGACCCTGCCTGGTTAAAGATTAAGGAGGTTCCCGTAAATCAGCCGGGGATGCGGGGGCAGCCGGGGGGGGACGGGCGGGGCGGTTCGGGGGCAGCCAAGGGGGCGGGACGCGGCCCCGCGTCCCGCTCTGCCCCCGTCAGGCACCCGCTAGACGGGGGGGCGGCGCTCCTGTCACCCACCGCCACCGAGAGCCCCGGGTGACGGGTGGCCCCGGCCGCCCCAGACCCGTCTGCCCGTCCCGGGGGTGCGGCCGGAGAACCTCGTCCCGCCCGCCCCGGGGCGTGATCCCGCGAAGCCCATCCCCGTGGCACCGGGCACCGATCACCATGGCCGTGAGGATCGCCAAGGTGGGGTCCGGGGGAACCGGGACCGCGGGGGTTCTTGTGTCCGCACCGGAGCAGGCGGTGCGGGGGTCCCGGTACCGGGATGCGGGAGAAGCGGTGCTGGGGCGTCAGTGCCGGTGCAGGAAAAGCGGTGCTGGGGTGTCAGTGCCGGGGCGGGGGTCCCGGGGTGTGGGAGAAGAGGTGCTGGGGGTGTCAGTGCCGGTGCGGGGGTCCCGGTGCCGGGGTGCGGGAGAAGAGGTGCTGGGGGGTGTCAGTGCCGGTGCAGGGGGCCTGGTGCCGGGATGCGGGAGAAGCGGTGCTGGAGTGTCAGTGCCAGTGCGGGAGAAGCGGTGCTGGGGGTGTCAGTGCCGGTGCGGGGGTCCCGGTACCGGGGTGCGGGGGAGGCAGTACCGGCGTGGAGGGTTTTCGCTGCCGGGGGTGCCAAAGCCTCCCTGCGCACTCCGGTTTCGTTTCCCCGGCGGGGACCGTTCCGCGTCAGGGCGTGGTCTGTAGTGGCCGCACCCAAGAGGCGCGTCCATGAAGGAGACCCCTCCGCCCATGAGGGCGTATTCCATGGAAACCACCGCCCATAAAGGCGTGGTGATGGGGAATCCCCGCCCATCAAGGTGTGTCCCACGTGCTGCCCCGCCCAGGACGAGCCTGCGGAGGGGTGTTTCGGGTTGCAGCCCCGTCCCTGGAGGCGTGTCCCGGGCGGCCCCAGCCACCTCTCGCCCGTCCCGCAGGAGCTGGAGGAGGTGCGGCGCTGGGAGGGGGCCCGCGACGTGCGGCCGCTGGACCGGAACGTGCGGCGTTGGGAGGGGCTGCTGCTGCCCGTGCGTGGCGAGGGGCACGGGGGGTGTGGGGGAGTGCCGGGCAGCGAGGGGCTGGGGAGGTGTGTGGGATCCCCTGGGCATGGGGGAACTACAGAGGCACAGGGGCCCTGGAGGGGAGATGGGCCCATGAGGGCATGGGGGGTGTTGGGGGTACCCCTTGGGACCCGGGGGCGTGGGGTGTCTCCTGGGGACACTGAGTGAGGGTCCCTATCAGGGCAGAATTGGGGAGGGTCCCTCTGGGGGCACTACTGGAGGACACCCTGGGGCCCTGGGCTGGGGACATTGGGGGGAGGTTCCCCTCCTGAGGGGCTGCTGGGAGTGGGTGGTGGGGTTTCTCCACGGGAGGCACTGGGTATATCAGGGCTGGACAGGGATCCCCCTGATAGATGATACTGTGGCTTGAGGGGCTGAGGTGCCCCCCTACCCCGGCAGAACAACCCCCCGTACAACGTGGGTGCCTTCCGCTTCGAGCTGACCTTCTCCCCGCACCACCCGCTGGAGCCCCCCCGTGCCACTCTCTGCACCCCCATCTACCATCCCAGCGTGGACCTCGAGGGTCGCGTCTGCCAGCCCCTCACCACCCGCGAGCACTGGGCACCCACCACCCGCGCTGTCCAAGGTGGGCACCGGGGGGACGGGGGGCACAGCACTGGGGGTGCCCCCCCTAACCCCCCCTCGTTCTCGCAGTGCTGCAGGACCTGCTGCTGCTGCTGGACAGCCCCGACCCCCAGCGGGTGCTGCGGCCGGACCTGGCCCGGGAGCTGCAGGAGCACCCCGAGGAGTTCCGGCACCGGGCACAGGAACACACCCGGCTCCACGCTGAGCCACGCCCCGACCCCTCCGGCCCCTGAGCCCCCCACCTGGGGGCACCCCGACTTCCCTTCTCCTTCCCTATGCCAGCCGGGGCTGGCCCTGGCATCATCCCTGCCTCGGCGCTGGACCTTGGGCATCGGGGTCCCCTCTGGCACCGTGAAGGGGGTCCTGGCCCCCCCACAAGAGCTGGCCCCCCACAAGAGCTGCCCCCCCGTACATAAGGCAATAAATTTGTTCCAGCTCCTGCTCTAGCTCCGTGATACCTCACGGGGAGGGTGAGTGGCTCTGGGAGGTGCTGACCCCCCGTGTGCCAGCCCTGGGGGGAAGAATGTCACCCTGCCGGTGGCAGAGCCAAGGCTGTGCCCCCACAGACACTCAGCGCCAGCGCCCCCGTGCCCACATCCCCCCCTCCAGATATGAAGCCACCACTGCCTGGCACCGTGGCCTTTAGTGCTGGGGGACAAGGCAGAGGACAAGGTTGGGGAGTGGCACGGGTGGGGAGACCCTTTCAGCGCTTCTTGGTCTTCACGAGCCCCTTGGCCACCAGGCAGCGGTACAGCTCCTGCACGTACGTGTACACACACTTGGCGTCGGGCACCGGCAGCCGCACCATGTCCTCCACCTCCAGCAGCGGGGCACAGCCCGCCCGCTCCCTGCGGGGAGGGACACGGCCGTCACCGGGGCCGGGGGGGACCCGGGGAGGGCCGGAGGGGACCCGGGGAGGGCCGGGGCTGCGCTCACGCACTCGGCGGTGGCGAAGGCCAGGGCGAAGTTGTGCCGGCGGGCGTCGGGCTCCAGGGCACCGAAGTCGAAGGCGTCGGGGAAGAAGCTGTGCAGGAGCGCGCAGAAGGCCAGGCCGCTGCCCCAGCTCCCGGAGAAGTTCTGCACGTCCACGTTCTGCGCGGGCGGGGGGGTCAGGCCGCCCCCCCGGGTCCTCCCCATCCCGCCCCCCCGCCATCCCACACCCGCGCTCACCGGGTACCCGCGGGTGCGGGCGCGGCACCACTCCAGCAGCATCGTCTTGACCGTGGCGGCCCCGCCCGACCGCCGCAGGTGCGGGGCCGGCCCCGTGGCGGCGCTGGGGGGACCCGGGACGTGGGACCCTCACACCCCCCTGCCCCCCGTAGGGACCTCCAGCCCCACCATGACCCCATTGCCCCAGGACCCTGGGCCCCCAATACCCCACTGCCCCATGGACCCCCATGGCCACATTGCCCCCCTGTCCCACATCCACCCCACTCTATGCACCCCCATTCCCTCCCTACCCTCCATTTCCTCATGCCCCCCCAATACCCACACTGTCCCACAGACCCCCACATCCCCCATGAACCCACTGTGCCATTGCCCTGAGCCCCCCAATACCCCCTCTGTCCCATGCCCCCCCACTGTCCCCCAATACCCCCACTGTCCCATTCCCCCCTCCATCGTCCCCCAATTCCCTCCCTACCTTCCATTGCCCTGTGGTCCCCAAATACCACCACTGCTCCATGCACCCACCCACCCCACTGTCCCACAGCCCCCCGGTCCCCCCTACCCTCCAGTCCCCCAATGCCACCCCATTTTCCCATGTCCCCCCCTGCGCCCCCGTGGGGCCAGGCCATCCTCACCCTCCGAACTTTTCCAGGATGGCACTGCGTCCATACGCCCGGGACCCCACACGCGGCTTCCCCCCGGCCCCCTCCAGCCTTGGTCTCTGCCCCGCCGATCCAGGGGGTGCCCGTCCCCGCGGCCCCCCCGCTGGGGCACCCCTGTGGGCACACGGGGGACCCGCGGGTGGGCTGAGGCACCACGGCGGGTGCCACTCACGGGGGGGTACAGCCCTGAGCGTGGGGCTGTGGGATGCCACCCGTGGGGTGGGGTATTGGGGTGCCACCCGTGGGGACATTCACCTCTTGCTGCCCTCTGTGCCATCGGTGGTGCCAGCTGCAAGGAGAGAGGAGGGGTCAGAGGGGTGCGAGGGGGCACCCAAATGCTGGGGCACCCCTGGGGCTCAAGGTCCTTCCCCATGGGGAGGGGACATGGGGGTCCTGCAGAGGACCCTATGGGGACGAAGGACACTGTGTGGGACAGGGGTGACCCCAGGGCGCTCAGGTGCCACTGCCTGCACGGCTCTTACCTGTGGGGGACGTGGGGGATGCTGGGGACGTGGGGGATGTGGGGGACACAAGGGAGTTGGGGGACACAGGGGAGGTGGGGGATGTGGGACTGCTGGCCCCCTCTGGGGACGAGCACGGGGGAAACTCAGGCCACAGCTCCTCGTCCTCGTCCTGATGCCAAGAGGGCTCCTGTGGGCACAGCAGGGGTGGCAGTGCCAGCGCGGGCACTATCACTTACACAATGTCCCTGGCACTGTCACCCTGCTCCTGACACTGTCA